GCCCGGCGCCTCGGCCTGCTCCGCCCCGGGCCCGGAGGGCGTCCCGCAGCACTACTGAAGGGGGTTCCCCCTCGTCGCCCTTGTGTCCCGACACGTGGATCCCCTTCTGTCCCTACCCCGGTCCCCTGGCTGCAATGCGCAGCGTGACCACAGGAGAGCAGCACTGAGCCGTTCTCATTTGCCGGCAGCGCCTCCCCGCTGCAGTGCCCGGCCTGAGCCACCGCGGGGCAGCACCGAGCGCGCTCTCCTCTTCTCCGCCTTCAAGCCCTGGCTGCGGCGCCGGGGGAAGCGCCGGACGGCGGCACCGACAGCAGCGTTTTCTTTTTTCCTAATACTCTCCAGGGGTGCACACCATACCTACGGTATAGGTTTGAACTACACACATATTCATGTAGCTATATACAAACATTATGTTATGTGAATACCTCTATTTTCCTTTTAGTTAGAGACACCCACAAAGAAACAGTAGTAGGATCACTATGTTCATTATGGCATGTATTCTGCACACACACATACACACTATACGCGCACACATCTCTGTTACATACATTTCTGTAGTTACAAGTCAGTAGTCAACGAATAATAGCGGCACTTGAAACCCCTGTTCTCAACGTGTTAGTTAGTTGACAGCAAGGATTTCCAACTCTCCATTTCAATAGATTTCTTACAATAGGGTTTTTTTCATTTCTTTTTACCTTTAAAAAAAGTGAATTTCCGTGCAAATCGTGACAGCGACGACACACCTCAGAGCACAGCCCGATAGGCGAAATCAGGCGGCTTCTAGCACAGAGCGAAGAGCAGGTCACACCAGCCCCCTGCTGACACCTGATACTATTTTACAGCAAGGGGCTGTGACGCCTCTAGGATATGAAGGTTTCCTGGCAGTGTTTCTGAACGACAGCGTGTTTTCTTTTTCTCATCTCTACGAAGGGAAATCCGGTGCTGCATGTGTTGCTGACGCCAACCACAGGAGAGCCTGACAGGCCCCGTGCGGTGGGGAACGGAGTCTCCCGCACGACCCGCCGTGGTTGCCAGAACAGCTGCCGCAGCGCTCCGGGGCCGCCCCCGGGTCCCGGGCCGCAGCC